AGGCGCATCAAATGATGATCGATATTTGAGGTGCCTCAGTTGTCAACTGAGGCGATCGACATCTGAGGCACAACATATATATATATTTTTAATTCCATTTGAAAATAATTTTTACTTTTTTATAATATTTATTATATTAAATAGTTTTTTAATATAAAAATTTGAATAATTTTTAAAGTAATATTAAATTCTCCTAAAATATTTTTATTAATAAATTAGAAAAATATATAATAATAAAATTTTTATTTACATTTAAATTTTCAATAACTTAATCTTTTTATTATTAAGTAACAAGTTATATCAGAAATGTTTGCAGACTTTGTGTAATATGAATTACTTTTTATGGAAATTAAATTTTATAATGCCGGCCTGAATTAAGGACATATGGGAGGTTTTCTAGGATGGGTTCTGAGAATTTTTTAATAAAATTTTAATTTTTATTGCATTTTAATCTAATATCATCAAAAATTAAAATACAATAAAAATTAAAATTTTATTAAAAAATTCTCAGAACCCATCCTAGAAAACCTCCCATATGACAAAGTCATAAGTCATAGACCTCTTCGAAATGACAAATGACTTATATCTGAAAGGAAAAGGGAATTAAAAGTAAATTCATGATTTTTAAATGTAAGGATACAATATAGAAATAAACAATAAAACAAATAGATAGATAAACAGGCAAATAAATATAATATAGGTTTGCAAATTTACTATGCTATGCCTTAACTGTTTCTTTGGTAAAACTTTTCCCTACTTGTTAACTGCATCATTTTCAACTGCTTTAAGGTTTTTGCACTATTCTTCATAAAATACTCTTTTCTTGATATCCATGATTTAGTCTAGGTCGATATCGATGAAAGGTGAATAAGCGCTAAATTTTTCCACCGGATGAAGATACACTATGAATGTCTGGAAGACGACGATATTTTGATAATGTCATGTAAACACTTTGATGACTTGATATACAAATCTATTCGGACTCTTAAAAATGTACTATTATACTTTATTGATTTATTTTTTTATGTTAACCCTTGTGATCAATTGTTCATCTCCTTTTATATTTAGGTTGATATCTATCAATTTTGATCTAGACATTTCTTTATTATATAATGACAGAAAGTTTATCATATTCGGGTCACACAAATTATCCACTTATTTTTCGACGCTCAATATTTGGGGGTTTATAAATAAGATCTAAACCAGTTTTAAATCCTGATGGGCGTATCATAGTTTAACTTTTCAATTTACTCTATATCGTAAATCACAAGGATCCCAAGTTTCAATCAATTTCACCAATTAACAGATTTCCCGTTAGAGGATTATAGATAAAAGTTGTTGCAGTGTATTGGCGAGAGCGGCGTCAGTTGATAACTTTAAAAAGACGATAGTGATAATTACGGAATAAAGTTATATGATTCAAGTAAGAAAATGTGTAAGGCAATCACATATCAGCAGTATTTATCTTGTTAATCGTTTATCTTAAGCAAATTTACATTACATTAATTTATTACTTCATACCTATACTAATCATCCTTCGAGTTGCTAATGCACAAATTCAGAAACAAACATCAAAAAAAAATTATTTTGCTTGTGTAATGTAGTGTAACGTATCATTATTTCGCTAAATACAACTTTATATTATGTGTAGATATAAACGTCACGTAAAATCCGAAATTCCGAAATTCCGAATAATAAGAAAAAAAGCACATACTGTATGCAGGATCATGTTGTAATTCAAATACTTTTTTTTACAAAGATAAATAAACGCACGGAACATCTCAATATTTTATCTATTAATTATGCAACATTTCCCAATCAACTAGATTTTATGAACTTTGGAGACCAACTTTGATAACTCTTAAATGGTAACATGGCGTAGAATCTAGATTAGGTCCATTCTTCACAAATTTGGAAACGATTCTTAAATTATTAGAATCAAGACTCTTTAGTAACAATAAGGTAAATTAATTCTTTCACATAAATGGATGCGAAAAAAAATTACGCGTCAAATTACGTGGCTTTTTTAAAAATATTCTAGATAAATTCTTCAATTTAAAATATCATTTTAATTTTCTTAATCTGAGATTGGTTTGTGAGAAAACAACATAAAGAATGTGTGATCAAAATAATTGAAAATTTGTTACTCATTTTAAGAACAATATGAATCAAGAAAGGTATTGTCCCTAGATGATATAAGAACATAAACCATTTTTATTAACCCAAATTTCATATTCTACTTTTTGTTTAAATAGTAATTATATTCACAAAAAGATAATCGCATCTCGTATGATATATGGTAACATTGATTGTCAGATTCGGTATTTGAAAAGAGTTTCTTCTTTTCATCCGCACCAGTGATTTGCTTTGTGAAACATTTCAATGTGCATATATATTCGGAGAAGAAATTCGATTTTTGGTTTTGATTGTAGTTATGGAAATCTATATTATAAAAGGCAATGACATCCATCATACATCCCATGTGTTTTGTTAAATAAGAAACATAAAAAATTTTCAAGCTTACAAATAGACACGAGATTTGAGATTATGGAATTTGTGGGGAAGTGTGCGAATCGCTGTCACTTCTAAAATTTACTTTTTTGATTAGTTAAAATAAAAAAAAAATTTTTTTATTTGTATCAAATCTACGGTTAATCAATCATCTTTAGCAATCCTTGATTCCCTATTGTTTCCTTTATTTTTTTGATAAAAAAAAATAATAAAAAAAAAATCTGATGATTGCATACATAATTGATTTAGGAGAAATAATTGTATCAAGGAGTTAAAAAAAAATGGAGTAAAAAATCATAATGAACTGCCTAATTTGTATTAGATGATCTGAATGTACATTAAATGAACTACTCGATTTGTTATAGTGAGATCTTAATGCTTGGTGAAATTGGTTTTCAGGGTCATCGTTCAAAATTAGAATAAATATAATTTTAAAACCAATTATATTCATTTATAGAATAATATGTTGTGATATATATCAGTGTTATAGTGTTCTATTTTTATTATTATTATTCCTTTATCCTCTTCCTTTATGAATGCAATGTACAAAATTCTTGGAATTTTTGTGTTTTTCCGTCCGATAATGAGAAAATTTATTAGAGGTGTATTTTAAAGGGATGAATTCAATGCTGCAGATCCGACACAGGTAATCAACGGAATTTCACGGTATTAGACGGGAATTTCGAAAAAGAGAAGTGCGTGTTACGAGATAATTCAACTTAATGACTACTTAAAAGGAAGATTATAAGTACTTTATATATATATATATACCCAACATAAATATTATATTTTTAAATGGACACCAATCAACTTTTTTCGTAGGACCAGAATAATATTCTATACTTAGTGTTGTTTTAATAATAAAATATATAATTTGTGTGTGCATATTTAGTTATTTTGTGAAAAAAAATTTTCAGTTTTAAATATTTTTAAAGTTTAAAGAAATTGCGAGTACAAGCACTCGTTTCAACATCTACTCAAACAAACTTAAAATAATACATAAACCTTTTTTAAAATATATACATTCCTTACATAAGTGTATTCAATAACAAAATAAAAAGTATATCAACATATAATATAATAGATATACAACCAATATCATTCAAATAATAAATTATTTGATAAATTATTGTCAAAATGACACACAAAAAAAAAAGCTGATAAAAAGGACGTTTTCTTCTCAAGTAAAAAAAAAATGGATAAATGGATAGTAAATTGAAAATAAAAATTTTTTTTTAATTTTAATATTCTAATCACTTTTTCATTATCGTTACATAACCTTTCATCCTCTTTTTCAATCTTCATTCTTTTTATTCCTTCCTTTTCTTTTCGTTAATATTTTGATTTTTACCTTTTGTTACTTCCTTTCCTTTATATCTTTGAAAAAATAATCAAAGATTAAAGATTCCTTTCTAACGAAAATCAATAAATATCATGGGAGTTAGCAATAGTACTTTATTTAAAAGGGTAAATGCGATTAGAGATGAGTACAATGGCCGTAGGAGAGGAACTCATTTAGATCGAGATCCACAAACAACGCCAACTAGATATGATAGGAAATTTATAATACTTGGTGGATCAAATAAAAGTAAAATCAGGTATCCTTTACCATCGAATGCTGACGAAGAAAAAAGTTGGTTGGAGGATCTACAACATTATTTATCTAGGCATTTATGGCAAAGTAACTTCTCGTCTCCGATCGAAAAATTGCTTAAACGTGGGGCTAGAGTATTAGATCTTGGGTAAGTGATATAAATTTTTTTTAAAAATCTAAGGATGAACCGAAATTTAACTCGAAATTCTTTTTTTATTGTTTTATAAAAGATGTGGCATTCCGACATGGACATTCGAAATGGCTAAAGAATTTCCAAAGAGTAAATTCACGGTCGTCGATTTCACTCCCATACCAACAAATCACCACGTAAAAAACATTGAAATCGTTCAACATAGTCTCAGTAACCTCCCTTTCGAAGATAACCTATTTGATCTCGTCTTCGTAAGACTTGGAGGATTTTCCGACGAGGATTGGGAAGACGTTTTAAAAGACAGTTATCGAATTACCACCGGAGGGGGATGGATTGAATTCATGCAAATGGATTCAAGATTTTCTAATTGTGGTCCTTACTTGGAAAAGTGGAATGACGGTAAGTTTTTCTTCAAGATTAAATTATTTTTTTATTTACGCGTTTTTATGTGACAGACCATTTATTTATATGGATTATCACACATTTTTAATTTAGTGGTTGCGTCAAGTGATTCCAATAGTGATAAGCTCGAAGATATGCTCCTAAAAAGAAATTTTCCAAACTTACGACATGAAGTCGCAATTGTTCCGATTGGAAGTTGGGGGAAAAAGACAGGTGAACTTTTGTTTGCATATATGCGTCACCTCTTATGCAAAGTGAAGTCCGAAATGACGGAAACAGATCAACCTGGTATAATCGACGAACTTGATAGAATAATGGAAAGAGCCGATCAGGAATGTGCTCAAAACAAGACCTATGGCTCTTTACATAGGTTTATGGCACAAAAAAGATTTTAAAAATATATTTTTTTTTTCCTTTTTTCTTTTTTTAATCAGTTTTTAATTTATAACTTTATTTTATTTTCTATTTACACGATTTTTCGTACGCTAAAGTGGTTATTTTTTTTTTCATTCCTTCATAAGAATCTTCCGAAAAATAAGAGAATAAGAAATCGCTGATTTTTTGTTATACAAATAAGATAATTCATTCTATGCTTTTTCAAATTAAGAAATAACATTAAAAGTAAATAAATATGATTTTTTTTCTTCAAAAAACGTATTTTCGCAAGTGATATTTGTGTGTAATCAAATTATCAATGAATGATAAACAAGCAATACTCGTGAACATTGTGATATACCGCATACATTTGAACAAATTCCTGACGCATTTCCTTTTTTTTTTCCTCGAGTATATGCTAATCTTCTTGTTCTCCTGATTCTTATTTAAATTCGTTATTGTTTGCATTGAGAGTCAGTTATGGCAAATGGTTATTCGAAATCTTTGTTGAATAAAATTGTTGCAAATTTTTTTTTTGTATAAAGAAAAAAAAATTTTTTTAGTATAAATTAGATTTGAAATGATAATGTGCGTTAGTATACACTTTTCATTTGTTAACCATCTTAGCTTGCATATATTATAACCAATAATTTTAGTGATAGAACATACTAACTTGATATATAGAAATATTGTCTTTCTTCGGTACTTGTAGTTTTTGTATTCATAAAATGATCACATATCATGACGCATTTTTTTATATTCGGCGTAATTAAAGTAATGAAAAAAATCAAGAATTTTAAGTCGATGATTGAAAAAAAATTTTTAGAGGTCAAAAATAATGTTCTATAGAATCATTTTTTTGTTTACAAGAAACATTTTTTTTATTTAATATATGACATATTTTGTCTGGTCGTCATTGAATATGGAACTTTGTTCCTCTGTCTGGACTAGTTGATAATTGAAACAGTCTTTTTAAGGAAAACAATGCATTATTGTTTTATTTACATAAGGCAATGATTATATTTATTGAACAAATGGATTTGCTTCTATTCATAATCATGCGATAATATTTTGTATAAATATTTTTCAATAGATCTTGTAAATGATTTGTATATATGGGAAGATTGCTAAGAAAGTCAAGTTCTGAGAATTTAAGATCTTATTTGCATTTTAATCTAACATCTAAATGCAATAAAAATAAAAAGAATTTTAAATTTCTCAGAACCTGATTATCCTAGAAACCTTCCCATATGGAAATTACGGGGAAATCCTTAACCGTATTTGTTGTCATTGTGAAGGAAAAAGAATACCTGTAGCATTTCGTTAGTTTTGCATTGCATATCTTTTTATATATAAGCGAACAAGATAAGATGTGCATTAATAAGTAATCTTTTAGCTATTGTTGTAGCGATTTGGAAAAACTATATATTGGGTATCAAACGCTAAAACAAATTGACAATGCCTGCAGTTTTTATCAAACGTAAATATTAAATTTTTTTTTTTTGTTATATACTGTACCTAATCTAACCTATGGATCGGTTTTTAGCCGGAATTTACCAAGTCTATCAAAGTTACCAACATTTACTTATCGGATTTATCGGATAATAGGGTTTCAGATATTTGTCGAATTGGTACCAAACAAAAAAAAAAAAAAAAAAAAATACTGCTCACTGATTGATCACAACATTATTTTCATCATATTAAAAATCAAAACATTTTTTTTTTTTTTCCGGAATTTTATCCAAAGTTCACAACAGATGATTTTTGTTTCAAAAGTTATTGTTACTCACGTGTCAATGCATAAGTTCATGTATACAAATCTTTCTTTAGATTGATCAACAAAAAAGTTCCAAATTTCAGGATGATTGTATTTTGAAACATTAGAGGAAATTTTCCGTAGGAACGTTTTGTTTTATTTACCATTGGGAGTTTTATTTTATTTATTTTCTGAGAACTTATATTAATTATATTTCAAAATGATTAGAGATAAGAAACACAAATTAAAGTCTGTGTATTAATTAAAATAAATTAAATCCATTTATTTTTAAACGGAGAATTTTAAATGAAAATACCGTACCGAGGCACAAATTAAAATAATTTCTTGCATTATTTTTTCTTGTCATTGATAGGGTAAACGTACAGAATTTGATAAACATTTTTTGTAAATAATACTTTAACTGTAAAGTATTGCCAAGATTTCTATTTTAAATAACAAAAAAAAAATTTAATATAATGATTGGAATGTTCATACCATACCAAAGTTCACTGGTTCATTATTATTCAAAGGAAAAAAAATCGATTGCAGATCATCTCCTTTATAAAGAATAAAATAACAAACAAAGAAGTTTTGCTTGGACTTGAAAATTTTATTATATGTAACAAAGTTCATTGGTTCAAGATTAAATAATTCAAATGGAAATAAAATAATCATTTTTTTTTTAAAACCAGTTTATGTTCGTTTGATAGCAGATCGAAATGTTTAAAGATTTGCCGTTTTAAGAGATCTTTATTAAATGAGTTCAAGATAAAAAAAAAATTCTCGGACAATATAAAACCATTTATTTCATTGTAGTTAGGGACAAAATAAATTACAAACATAAATGAAGTTACCGTATTTACCCGTATTAGAACCACACGATCTGCAATGAATTATTTATGTGACACGTAGCCGAGTTTCGCGTATTCTTTAAAGTCATGAAGGATGCATTATTTATTACTAGGTACTTTAGTGTAGTGATAAATTATGCATAATCAGTATTGAATCGAATTTATAAGTGAAAACTTATTGAATCCGTAATATTAAAAGTATATTCCGTTGTAATTGTATTTTATTTTATTTTTTATTTCAAAGTTCAAATATCTAATTTGGAAATAAACTGACAATTAAAGGGTAGAGTTTCCGAATATGTTAAATTAGCAAATAAAAAAAAAAAATTATCGTATATATGTTATTTGCACACAAAATCTTTTTGGCAAACACAGGAGAAATCGTGTGAAAAGGTTTTTAAGTTGAATAAACATTAAAAAGGAAATATTATTTGAAAACCGCTGTAAAAAATTTTTTTATTACAAACTTAATAATTAGTTGTTCTTCCCAGAATTTCACGCAGGGCAGATGTTAATCAAAAATGGATTAGATTTGAAATTTTCGGATATCGGCCGAAGCTAACCGTACAGAATCAATTATATATAAACAAAATCAAAATCAAGGGATTTTTCAATGACTCCAAATATATTAATATATTTGTTTCATCAATAACTAATTAAAACCAGTATAACATTAATTCTTCTTTACCTTTTTTTTTTTAAAAAAAAAAAAAAAAGGTACGACCGGCTTATAAAATAATGTTATCTGAATTTATTTATTTATTAAATACTTTATAAAGTAAAATTATCATTTAGCAAATCAATAATCCGTGCAACCTTTATGAATGGATTATGCGAAAAAATTACATAAATTGAAATCAAGTTTGCTTGCGGATGGAATAAAATTCATAATTGGAAGCTGTATTTTTTAGACAAAAGTTACCGCATTATTGTTTAGATTTACTTTTTGCCGATTGAAACCTAAAATCGATTATCAATAGAATTTCAATTCTTCCATAGAATTTTTAAGGTTATTTTTTTTTCTTTATACTTTTTTATTTTTCATTCGCTAAATTTTTTGTTGTGAAACGAAATCAATGGTTAAGATTAATTTGAACACAAACGAGTGTCTCGGTAAATCTAAATAATAATAATATTTTATGAACAGGGATTGGATTGTAACACAACCCAAAATTTCATGTACGCAGTGTTTGATTCTCCACATGGCGTGATATTGATCGACAATAAGTTGAAAATCAATTCATTTACTTTTTTAATCTTTATCACATAAAAAAAAAAAAAAAAAGGATTCAAATAAATAAATCTAAATTTGGTTGGTCCATATTACTTAATCTTTTGAAATAGATTTAACATTACATTTTATGTTAGTTATAACTTGAACTATGTACGACCGTAACACATTGAAGTTCAATTGTAATAATTTTTTGTTAATCTAATCGATCCTTTAATCGTCATTGAAACTTGAAAAAAAAAATATATGTTCAATTTTTGAATAATAATATTAAATGATTTCATATCGAATTTCTTGAATTAGGATATGTAGGATATGTATAGTACAAATCAATTGTTGGCTCGACTAAAATTTATTTCTCACAACCATTGGTGTTTTTTGGTTATTTATTATCCTTAACTCAATTAATCCTTTTATCATTTATAGAATCTTTTTTAAATGACATTTATAAATGACTACAATCCTTTCTTTCAATGGAACTACCAATTTAATTATTTATTAAGTCGCAAATTTTTATCTACAACATTAGAAGTAATACAAATAAACATTTATGTTACATTCTTATTATTACATGTTATTATATTATTTACTTAATAAGTTATTTGTTAACTTGAAATTTTATCGATGCTCGAAATCATTAAACAAGAAAAAATATAAGAACTTTCCGATCTGCATATTGGAACAATCATTGTGCATTATACAGTACAAATATCTGATAAACGTTTTACCGCTTGATAATCGTTTGATGCTAATCAACGTATGGTAATTTTCCCTACCCAATAACTAACGTTAACATATCTGTATTGCAACAAATATTCATTTATTAAATTGAATTATCTTTTTAATTCAAAATATGGAAGCTATTTCTCCTTTTAAATGATAAAATGTTTTCTTTTTATTTACATCGAAAATTTTAATTTACTAAATGTAATGTTTTCGTTGAATCTTTTTTCCTCTCCAAAAAAAACGATTGATTATACAGAGAGATATTAGTATGATATATGAGAAATCTTAGGGAATAAAGTTAATTGTCGAGGAAGAGATCATTAAATTAATTACATATATCTAGATAAATAACCCTACATCAAGATATGAAATTGTAAAAAAATTTTTTTAAAAATAATTAAAGTTCTGGATCAAACAATAAAAGTTACATCTAATTCACTTAGAAATAAATTTTTG